GTGCTCTAGTCTTTGCATAAGATGTCATGGTCGATAGTATCAAATGCAGCACTGAGATCGAGCAAAAACAAGGAATAGAGACAAGTCCTTTGTCTGAGGCTATTAGAATGTCATTTGTGACTTTAACCAGAGCTGTCTCTGTGCTATGATGTGTTCTAAAGCCAGACTGAAAATCTTCAAATAAATCATAGTTTTTTAAGTAATCACACAACTTTTTTGCGACTGCTTTCTCAAGAATCTTTGAGCGGAACGGAAGATTTGAAATAGGTCTATAGTTGGCTAAAACCTCTGGATCGAGGTTGTGCTTTTTAAGAAGCGGTTTTGTCACTGCTACTTTGAATGATTGTGGAACATAGCCTGATAATAAAGACATATTCATAATATTTAATAAAGAAGTGCTAATTAATGGAAGAACTTCCTTCAACAGCAACCCAAAACATACGCGCTCTCGCTAAGCGGTCCTACGATGCTGGTTATCAAGTGGATCGCTCAAGCCAGCCGTGCCCTATCTAGTTAGGTGCGTGTTCACATGAAAGGGGTGGCATTTGGAGCATTCGACCAATCACAAACATGGAGAAGCGCACTGACAGCGCAGCGCGTCATATTTCCTGAATGAAAAGTTAACTTTAATATTAGTCAAATATGAAGAAGTTAAACTTTAAATATCCATGACTTAAACACTGTATCCAGGATAAAAGCCACATAGCTGCACCTGCAAGGTGAATACAGCTGGTAAAAGAAAAAGTGTTTGAATGCGTACATCAACAGGTTTATGATATCACTGCCCCGTCTAAGACACGATCTGACTTTAATTACATTTGACTCGAGTGTTTCGTCAACTTAATGTGTTGCTTAAAATAATACTTCTGCATACAGTATGTGACACTGTGAGTGTTGCACGGCCAGATACGGCTCAAGAAGCTGACTCAGATAAGGAAATATATTATACATTATGATGTGATATGATGTGATATGAATGATAATGTGACAGATCAACATCTGCACTCAGTGTACTTATGTTGTGGCAGATATTTAAGTTAGCTTTCTTAACGCTAATGTTATAATAGTCAGATTGCTCTGAAGATGGGAGGTGATATTCTATTCATTTTCGCGTTCACACAGACAGTTGATTTTTGCCGGCCGTCTTTCCTGCAACGGCAGTTTAAACTGTATTTCCTCTATCCTGTAATATGACTTGATAGCTTTAAACTCCACACACTGAGCTCTGATTGTTCCGCAGGCAGTGCTTTCACTGAGTTGATCTCTTAGCCTGCGACCTAACCTGCTCCGGAGCAGGGGGGTATACTACGAATCTAGTTCAACGTATCCTGGATATGTTTTGAGTTATCCGGTTGACTTAATCCAAAACAAAGCCGCTCTCGCTAAACTGTCCTACAACGCTGGCTATCAACTCGTTTGCTCAAGCCAGCCGTGTCCTATGTAGTTAGGTGCGCGTTCACATGAAAGGGGTGGTATCTGGAGCATTCGACCAATCACAAACATGGAGAAGCGTACTGACAGCGCAGCGTCATACTTCCTCAATGAAAAGTCAACTATAATATTAGTCAAATATGAAGAAGTTAAACTTTAAACATCCATGACTTAAATACTTTACCCAGGATAAAAGCAACATAGCTACACTTGCAAGGTGAATACAGCTGGTAAAAGAAAAAGTGTTTGAATGCGTACATTAACAGATTTATGATCCAAGACACGAGATCTGACTTTAATTACATTTAACTCGAATGTTTCGTCAAGTTAATGTGTTGCTTAAAATAATACTTCTGCATACAGTAGGCTATGTGACACTGAGTGTTGCAAGGCCAGATACGGCTCGGCTGACTCAGATAAGGACATATATACAGTATGATACATTATGATGTGATATGATAATGGGACACATCGACGTCTGCACTCACAGTGCCGCGGACGGTAGGCTACGTAATGTTACTTTGATCCGGTTACTTATGCTGTGGCAGATATTTAATTAAGCTTTCTTAACATAATAGTATAATAATAGTTATAATAGTCCAATTGCTCTGAAGATGGGAGGTGATATTCGATTTCATTTTCACGTTCACAGAGTCAGTGATTTTGGCCGGCCGTCTTTCCTGCAACGGCAGTTTAAACTGTAAACTTTCCTCCGCACACTGAGCTCTGATTGGTCAGCAGCGTGGTGTTTTCGCTGAGTTGATCTCTTAATCCTGAAATGTATCCTGCTTCGGAGCACAGACTCAGGGTTCAGGATAAGTTCACCAATGGAGATCAGCCCCGCTAAAAAGTGAACCAGCTATCGTAGTACCGGAAATCCAGAAGTTATCTGTGCTAAACGGAAAATCCTGCTTCCGTATTGATCACCCAGGTTTAGCCACACAGCATAAGTTACCATGGAGCATCTAGCCCCGCTAAAAAGAGAACCAGCGTCGTAGGAACCGGAAAGCCGGAGTTTTCCCTGCCCGCTAAGCGACAAATCCTGCTTCGTAGTACAGGCCTCTGGTCTCAACTCCAGTTTGTCATGGATTAAATCCACAAAGCCTTGAAATGTTTGCGAAATGAGATTTGCACCTTCCAAGTAGGATGAATGCCGTCTCTCTTTAATAAGACCAGGTTTTTCCCCAGAAGGCCGTCCAATTGCGGCAATGACCTGCTTTAAAACAATGAATAATGACTCTATAAATCATATGGTAAGGGATAAGGTGCATGCGACGCGGTCATGCCGCTAATGTCCATGCTGATCTAGACCTCCGCTTCGCGTCGAACTCCTGATCAGCCTGTCGGTGTCTTTTTTCCCATAATGACCAGTTGCTGCACATTATCCCGTTAAATTACATGGCCACATTATCAAAAAGGTAAACGATTTGACCTCCGAATATTAATTTCAAATGCTTTTATGGATTTAGAATGATTTATTGATTTAAAAAATAGTCTGTATGTTGGTCACTAATTTACTCTATGTACATAATACACTCATGGAACTCAGGTTGGGGGTATTGGTTTCCGCACGGACAATATATTGTTGTTTACTTTATATTATGTGTGCTCCCGGCTTCGCTCTCGTTGTCATCTCGGGCTGCGAACCCGACAACATCTATTTCTGCTGCTCATTAAAGCCCCAGCTTTGTCTTCTGCACCCCTCCGACTCCTATCTCTCCGGTCACTCATTGGTGACCCCAACCAACATCTCCGTGAAGTTTCCGGAGGGACCCGAAGACGGAAAAAAAAACTCAGGTTTTTTCTCGAAATGCCAGGGGATTTTTTGAGACGATCCGTGCTGCCCCGGCACGCGGACTGAGGCTCGGGTGGGTGCCCCATTACGGAATGGCTGAGGACGTCGCTCGCCATTCCCACATCGTTCGTGGACAGTACGGCCCTTTTTGGAGCATTTTCTGGTGCCTGAGAGGATGTTCGACCCATGTCTGGTCAGCCTCGTGTGGACCCGATCCTCGCCTTTTCACCACCTCAACAGTTTGGAAAGTCGCTCAATGCCTTCATCGGCCCGTGGGTGGCGCGCTTCTGAGGACACCGTCTCGCCTCGCTCTAAAGGTTTCGACCGTGCCCCATGGCCTTTCATCGGCCCCCGTGGGTGGCGCTGCTTCGGGACCTGGTCTGGCCCTTTCCTTCGCCTCGGCTGTTTCCGGACGTCGCCCATCCTTCCATCGGCCGTGGGTGGCGAGCTTCGGGACCCTGCCTGGCTCGTCCTCTTACCGTGGCTTCACTGTTCGCCCTCGACGGCAGCTTCGGCCGCCCGCGTTGACCCCG